TAGTGAAATGTGATACATCTGCTGCGTACAAGGCTAATCAAATAGGTTTATTATAGAAAAAAGCCATGTTATACCCTATTTTTTGGCTGTAACTTGAGACATGGGAGGAAAGTTTTTGTGATAATTGTAACTATTATTAGAATATAAGGAGTTAGTTGACAATGGGCCCTTAATGTGAGTGGACAGATAGCTAACTATTAAATAACAACTACCAATAATTTTTGTACTCCTGGCTAATTTGGTAGCACAATCTCAAACTTATTTATCCTCACAAATTCTCACTCGAGCAAAATCCATATTTTCTGATTAAAGCACAGATAAATTGAGATAAGAAGGTAAACCAAATCTCATTCTGTCTTAAATTTTGAAGCTTTTTTAAAATAACGGCTGCGTCATGTAGGTCTCCGTAAGGCAAGTTGGAAATTGTTTATAGAGAAAAAAGCAGATAGGTTTGTGCAGAGTCCGGAAGTCCGAGGCATCGTAGTTTCTCATTCCGTTTTCGATTCCCCCGCTATTAGTTCTTAACCATCTCCAAAAACCACCCAACATATAAATACCACGTACAAGTCTCCTCCAAGAGTTGAGAGCGCAACTGCGCGGGGCATCTAAATATATATTCTCGAAGACTCACTTAAAAAGGTTTTTCTAAGCGAATAGCCAATGAGCAGTCTCCAAATTTGAGACAAAAGTTCGCAACAAGGAGCTTAAGAATTGTATGCAATATCTTTTAAGAGTGGAAATGAGAAAAATTGCCGTACCTTTTTGTGATTTGGGTCTCCGGCAGAGACCTACGGCAGACAGGCCTCCGACTAGCATATGATTTTTTCCTAGTATCTGCTTACTTATACCAAGTACTTTTTGTGCGCCCCTCGTCCCAACTTATAGCGCAGAGATCAATGATCTTTTTTCCTAGCAAAAGTCCAAATTCATTTTGTCAGGGGAAGAACGCGTATCTAAGCAAACAGTGCTGCTGTACTTGTCCTGGCACGTATTTTTGAAGGTTACATGCACAAGGAGGCTTCTTAATTTGCTGAATTTTTAAGAGGGTGCTCGCTCGTAATTTCCAACCGGAGACCTCATGCCGAGGCTTGATCAGTTTAATTCAGATTGATGTTTCGCAATGAATTGTTTGCTGGTTACTTTCACCATTCATACCTTTTGACTATCTATCCTCTCCCCTTCAGTTGTTTATTTATAGTTCCTGATTTTTTTTTAATGGGAGACCTACTAGGCAGTACGAGTGCAACCCTTAGACTCCTTGTTCGATAACTTTACCCTCCAATTTGCTTAGTTTTCATCACCCAATCGATTGGGAAAACGCGTTTGTCTACAAGGGAAGGATAACTAGTCCCACTTTATCTGGAAAATATCGATTGATATCATCGATTTATTAGTTTTTTTTTGGAATTTTCGCTCTAGATTGCTGAGAGTTGGTACACTGGGGTAGGTTGATATGCTGATTACAAATATGATATTCACTTAAAGATTTATCGATTGGATCCGTTGATTTATTGATTCTTCGCAGTATCTGGCCAAACGCGCTGGGAGCTGGTTGGGGTAACTCGATATCCCAATTACGAATTTGATACCCTCTTGAAAATTCATCGATCGATTTTATCCATTTATTGATTTTTTGCATTTCTCGCTTTGAAGAGCTGAGAGTAGATGTACTATGGTACTTGATAAATGTGATAAACTTGATATACTGAATACGAATTTGATAACCACTCGAAGGTCTGCCAGTTTATTCCATCATCTTGGGAATTTTTAGCTTTGAACTACTGGAAATTGGTGAACAATGGTTTGTTAACAGGTTGATTACGAGTATGATTTCATTCGAGCCAATA